AGACGAAACGTTTCATTAAAGAAGAACCCGTCCAGAAGACCTATACAATTTTTTTCTTTTTGATTTTTTACCTGGATTACTGAGATGCATCAGGAAATTACTAGAGAATTTTCATTTCTGGCGAAAATACTACTGTGAATGCCTCTTTCTGATAACTTTATCTGAAGCTAAGAAACAAATTGATGATGTCACTGATGATGCCACTGATGACATCATCATAACCAAAATTCAAAAAAATTGAAATTGCTAAAAAACTATGAAAATTAAAGAAACCAAAAATCATAGCCGGAATGTTCTGAAAGAGCTGAACATTTTGATATATGAATGGTTTAAGTGGCAAAAAAATTGTGGAAGGAGAAGTCGTCCAAAAAACGTACCCATTCAAAGTCAATGGGAAAAAAACTGCTTAAAAATTGAAATTGCTAAAAAAGTATAAAATGTTAAGTTACCAAAAGTCATAGCCGGAATGTCCTCAATGAGCTGAACATTTTTGATATATGAACGGTTTAAGTAGCACAAAAATTGTGGAAGGAGACGTTGGTCCAAAAAACGTACGGAAGAAACTGGAATAATAAAGAATAAAGAGAAACACGAAAACAGTAGTGTGAATGCTGGAGGCATTCACACAAAAATTTGTGTACTTTGTAGTACACTAAAAGTACATGGTGCCTTGTATACTTGATATACTTAAACTTATACTCAAGTATATTCATTAAAATGAACTTCAAGTATACTACTTTCTGCTAAGGGCGTGTATAACCTCTCTAAAGGTCGGCGTCCTGATCAGATGCATGAACACCTCCAGAAGGTCATGACCCAACAGAACCACATCATCTGCATGGATACTATTTTCAGCAGCAGAAATAAAAGTCTCAAACCTCTTAATCTTCCACCTAAATAAGAAGACAGAGTTCTTTAAATGTTTACCTTCGTTGCTCTGGTCCCTACATGTCTCAAATCAGAGCTCTGTCAGATTAATCCCTCTGGCTTCTGCAGAGTTATTTGATACAAAAATGAACGCTGATTGTCTTCGTTTACGTTTCAACCACGAGCCAGATGTTAGTGATGTTTGTGTCCATTGTTAAAAAAAATAAGATGCTACAGCGGAAGATCAAAATGCTAAAACCAGATGTTTCTCCTCTAGAGCCAATTACAATTAAAGGCTGGGTTTTCAGCCTCCCTGTCTCAGACTCAGCTGAGTCCGTGTCACTACATGTTAGAGCTGTTTTTACTGAGCACCTTCACTGCGTCTGGCTGTTTGTTTTGGCTGTTTGGTGCCTGTAATAATCAGTCATCAGGCAGTACTGTTCCACCGAACGTGTAAATTATTGTCCTTATAAAGCCATAAAACAGACCTTTCTTATATTAGATGAGTGAAAGTTTGTTTTATTCTAGTTGCCGCTTTCCCTGAATGAATAAATAATCCTAAAAGGAGTCTCCCTTAAACTTTTATTTTGATGTTTTAATGAGAGTGACTCACTGAGGTGGATCTGAACGGTAATGTGGGAGCAGGGGTCAGTGCCAGCTGGAGTCGAGCTGTCTGCTTTATTAGGCAGGGGATTTCCTTTCACCCATCTCCTCGCTGCAGTGCACCGGAGAAGCTGTGCTCTGGATTCACCGTGGTCCAAACCTATGGGATCAATCTTGTGCCAGCAGGAATTGAATTTGAATTGCTAAGATTGAATCTGGATGCGCATAATTTGAAATTGAATGCATTGGTTTGAAAATAAATTTCACTAAATTTAAACTTAATTTAAAGTTTTGTATCTGAATTAATTTGATTTTAAACTGTATTTTTGTTTATTATAAATTCAGTTTGACTACTTTCACTTTCAGTTCCATAATTCAGATTTTTGTGTCACATCCTGGTCCTTGAGAAAGCCAGGCAGAGTAATCAAACACAGATCCACAGATTTATGTTTCACTTTGGTGAAGTTTCCCTTCTGGATGTAACAGAGTTGATGCAATCCACTGTAAAAGTGACAAAAACACACAAAGTTATATTATAGCAGTGATTAATTTGACCTATATGTATATGTGTATATATACTGTATATGTATACAGTATGTATG